AAAAAGGGTTAAAAAATATAAAAGAGGTTAATAAAAATAACGAAAAAAAGTTAAAAAATAAAAGAAACGGTTAAAAAAAAGTCCCAAAAAAGGGTGAGAAATAGAGCAAAAAAGGTAAAAAAAAAAAACAAACCAAAACACAAAATGGGTAAAACCAAAATAATAGAGAGGTGGGTTTTTTATAAAAAATAAAGAAAATAAAAACCCCCCTACCTGGTGGCCTCAAGCGTGACCTCGGCGCGGTCCAGCAGGACGGAGCAGCTGAACTCCAGCTCCAGGGTGAAGGACACCTGGAGGGGGGGTTCAGGGGGGTGAGATGAAGGTTTGGGGGTCCCAGGAGGGGGAAGAGGGGGTGTCCCGGGGGGGTCCTACCTTGGCGTGGGAGCGGAACACGGGGTACCCGACGCTGCAGCGCCAGCGGTGCCCCCCCAGCGCCGAACATTCCAACTTCACCGCGCCGGGATCCTGCCGGGGAGGGGGAAACGGAGTTGGGGGGACACGGGAAACAGGGAGGGGGGTGATGGACCCCCCCCCCAGAGGGGAGCTGGAGTGGCTACCGGGGGGGCTACCGCTGCTGAGGGGGGGTTGGGAACACACAACGGACCCCAAAGTCCCACTTGGGAGCCGGGGGATGTGGTGGATCCCCCTCATCCCACCTGGGAGAGGTTGGGGGGACATAACAAACCCCCATGTCCCACCTGGAATGGGTTTGGGGACCCAATGGAACACACACACCCCCCTCATCCCACCTGGAAGAGGTTGGGGGGACACAACAGACGCCCATGTCCCACCTGTAATGGGTTTGGGGACCCAATGGAACACCCTCACCCCCCTCATCCCACCTGGAATGGATTTGGGGATCCAATGGAACAGCCTCAACCCCTCGTCCCACCTGGAAGGGGTTGGGGGGACACAAAAGAACCCCCGTGTCCCACCTGGAATGGGTTTGGGGACCCAATGGAACAGCCTCACCCCCCTCATCCCACATGGAAGGGGTTGGGGACCCATGGAACAGCCCCTGCTCCCCTCATCCCACCTGGAAGGGGTTGGGGGGACACAACAGACCCCCTCATCCCACCTGGAATGGGTTTGGGGACCCAGTGGAACAACCTTAACCCCCCTATCCCACGTGGAATGCGTTTGGGGACCCAATGGAACACCCTCACCCCCCTCATCCCACCTGGAAGGGGTTGGGACAAGAACGACCCAGAGGTTCCCTGGAAGACTCGAGTCCCCCTCTTTGTCCTGGTGGGGGGACAAGGGGACCAGGGATGCTGAGGGGGGGGTTCCTCAGGGATTTGGGAACCCCCCAGGGCCGCACCTGGAGCACGAGGCTGGAGAAGTGGAGATTCCCGGAGAGCCGCAGCCACAGGCTGGCGTTGTAGGCGTTCTCCTCCCGGTTTTCCAGCTCCACCCGCACCAGCATCCGCCTCCGGCCCTTCCGCAGGACGTGGGGGCTCTGCCTGCCATCCCAGGGGTCACTGTGGATCCCGGGGACACCGCGGGGACACCGGGAAGGACACGGGGGATACCTGGAGCCGGCGATGTCCGCGCTGGCCCGGAGCACCAGGTCGGAGACGCACTCGTCGTCCTCCCCACAGTCCTTGAAAAACGGGATCTGCGAGGAGCCCAAGCGTGATCCCGGTGTCCAGGGGGGAATCCCGATGTCCGGGGGGGGATCACGCCCTTCCCAGTACCCACCAGCTTGCGGAGGGAGGTGGGAGACGCCTCATCCAGCACCGGCCCCGTGGCCTCGTCCAGGGCCCAGCTGAGGGTGAGGCCGAGGGGCCGCAGGTAATCCGAGGTGTCCTGCAGGATCGGGGGATCCCGTCAGCCCCCGGGAATGGAGGGTGGGAAGAGTTCCCCCCCCCGTGGGGCAGGGAGGGGTCCCAGGGCTGACCAGGACGTGGAAGGGGACGCGGATGCAGCTCTGCCTTCCCAGCGGGAGCTCGATCCGGCGCTGGAGCAGCCGGCGGGAGCCCGAGTCGAAGGCGGCGCGGGATCCCGGGATCCGCTCCTCCAGGGACACGTTGTACCGGAGATCTGGGGGGTAGCGAGGGAGGGGCTCAGGGGCGGGGGCACCCACGGGGGTGAGGGCACCCTGGGATGCTCCAGCAGGACTCCAGGGAAGTCCTGGGATACTCCAGGAACACCCTGGGATGCTCCGGCAGGACTCCAGAGAAGTCCTGGGGTGCATCCCAGGGATGCTCTGGAGGGGCTCCAGGAAAGGGTGGGATGCTCCAGGAACACCCTGGGATGCTCTGGAAGGGCTCCAGGAAAGGCTGGGATGCTTTCCCCGGAATGACACCATGGGATGCTCTGGAGAGGCTTCAGGGCCACCCTGGGATGCTCCAGGGTTCTCCAGAAGTGCCATGTGGATGCTCTGGAATCCCATGGGATGCTCCTGGGACATCGAGATGCTCCAGGGCCCCCAGGATGCTCCAGGGATTCTCCAGGGCTCCCCTGGAGATGCTCCTGGGTTCTCCCGGAGACACTCCAGGAATGTTCCAGGGACACCCAGGGACGCTCCGGGGACACCCTGGGATGCTCCTGGAATGTTCCTGGAATGCTCCTGGAATGCTCCCGAGTTCTCCAAGGCCAACCCGGGATGTTCCAGGACTCCCTGGGACGCCCCGGGGATGCTCTGGGGATACTCCGGGATGTCGCAAGGACGCTCCAGGACCCTTTCAGACGCTTCCAGGACGCTCCAGGGATGCTCCAAGGGCCCTGCAGCCCCCCCGGTGCCCACACTCACCGATATCCATGTCTCCGGGGCTCCGGGAGCGCGTCCCGGCACGGAAGCAGATCCGGGCGCGGAGGCAAACGGCACCGGAGCCGCCGCGCTGGCAGTTCCTGCGGGTGACACTGATGGCCCCCGGCTCCACCGACACCCCCACGGACACCCGGACGATCCGGCGGGACCTGAGGGACAGCGGGATCGTGTGGGGACAGGGACGGAGATCCCGCTGCAGGATCGGGAAACGCAGGCGCGGGGGGAGGGATCCGAGAGGATCTCGGGAGCATCCCAGGGTCCCACGAGGGACCGCCCCGTCCCCGGGGTTTTCCTATCTCCCTCGAATGTCTCTGTCCCCTTCCATATCCCTGTCGCCTTCCATATCCCTGTCCCCGGCGTGTCCCTGTTCCCCCATGTCCCTGTCCCTCCCAAATGTCCCTGTCCCCTTCCATATCCCTGTCCCCGGGTTGTCCCTGTCCCCCGGGGTGTCCTTATCCCCCCAAATGTCCCCACCCCCCTTCATGACCCTGTCTTCAGGGTGTCCCTGTCCCCCCTGAATGTCCCCATCCTCCTTCATGCCCCTGTCCCCCCCAAATGTCCCCGTGCCCCTCCATATCCCTGTCCCCAGGATGTCCCTGTCCCCAGGATGTCTCTGTCCCACCTGAACGTCCCTGTCCCCCCTTCATGACCCCGTCCCCGGGCCGCCCCCGTTCCCCCCCCCCCCCCCCCCCCCCCGGACTCACCGCAGCACCACGGCCGCCCCCTGCGCCCCCACAGCCACGTCCACCAGCCCGTCCCCGTCCATGTCCATCCGTCCGTCCACGCTGATCCCGAAATAGCGGAGGTTCCACCCCAGCGCCGCCGCCTCGATGCGCTGGGAACGGAGCGTTTTGCGGGCAGCGCTCCCCATCCCCGAGCCCTTCCCAGAGCTCCCGGCGCCGTCTCACCTGCTTGTGCCGGGGCACGAGGGTGCCCGGGGCGCCGTGGAACACGTAGAGGGCCCCGCGGTGCCCGTCCTCCAGCGGGGCACCCACCACGGCGCCCGCCAGCCCGTCCTGCCCCAGGTCCGGCACCGCGCCCAGCGCGGAGCCGAACCGCGAGTCCTGCGGCCGCGCCTCGGGGTGCAGAGACCCTGCGGGGCTCAGGCGGTCCTGGGAGGGGCGCGGGGAGGGCCCTCGGTACCCCCCCAAAATCCCGCTGTGTTCCCCTCCGTCCCCTCAATTCCCCCAAACTGCCCCGACCTCTCCGTCCCCCCCAATCCCTGCATCCCTGCAATCCCTTTGCATCCGGCTGGTCCCCCCCCCAGTCCCCTGCACTCCCCCAGCACCCCTCCCGATCCCGCTGTGCCCCCCGATCCCATCGCATCCCGCTGATCCAACCCCCCCCAGTCCCCTGTGCTCCCCCCGCACCCCCCAATAGCCCCCCCCAGATCCCGCTGCGTTCCCCGATCCCCCCCATCCCCTGCACCCCAATCCCCCTGCCCGTCCCCCCCCAAGCCCCTCCCCTGCCCCACACGGCACAGGGACCCCTCCCACCCTCCCCTGCCCCCCCATGGCACAGGTACCTCCCCAACCCCTCACCTGCCCCTCATGGCACAGGGACCCCTCCCACCGGCCCCCCAGCCCCTCACGTGCTCCCTCTCACCCACCCCACGCACTACAGATCCCCCCTCCCTCCCCTGCCCCCCCGAAGCCCCTCCGCAGCCCCCCCAGCCCCTGCCGTGCCCCCCCTGACCTGCCCCACGCGGTACAGGTAGACCTTCCCCGCCTCCCTGCTCTGGCCCCCCAGGTAGGTGGGCGCTGCCACCAGCAGCAGGTCGGTGGCCCCGTCCCCCTCCAGGTCCAGGGCCAGCACCTCGCTGCCGAAGTAGGAGCCGATCTGGGGGGGTGCAGAAGGGCTGTGAGGCCGCGGGGGGGGGGACCCCGAACACCACCACCCCCCCCCGGCCCCTCTGCCTCCCCTCACCTGCTCCCCCATCAGCGTCTGGGTCACCGTGACGGTGCCCGCGGGGTCCAGCTGGAACAGGAGGACTTTGCCCTTGTGCTGGAATCGGGGGGCTCCAGCCACCAACAGGCGCTGCCCCCCCGGCAGCCGCAGCGAGGACACCGAGTAACCTGGGGGGGGGGCAGCGGGGTCAGCGGGGGGGACAGCCCTGGGCACACGGGACCCCCGGGGTGTTCCCGGGGCACCCGAAATATCAGGATCACAAATATCTGGATCGCGAGCATCTCAGCATCCCGAATATCCGTGACACGGAGTGTCCCCACTTCACCCCGTGTCTCCGGCACGTGGAGCATTCCCGTTTCATCCCTGGATCATCCCTGGCTCACTCCCCATCCCTGGGGACACGGAGAATCCCATATGCCCCCCCGAGATCTCCGGGACAAGGAATATCCCTAGTTCATCTCAGATCTCAAGAATATGGAGTATCCCTGGTTTCCCCCCATCCCTGGTTTCCCCCCATCCCTGGGGACCCCCCCGTACCGAGATACGCCGCGTGGTTCTTCAGCTCCAGCGGGAATTCCCCCTGGAATGCTTCCCGGGGTGGGATGATGCGCCCTCGCCGGCTCTCCTCCAGCACGCCCCCCTCCCAGTCGTAGGCTCCCACCATTCCAAAGAGGATCCCGTCCTGCCGGGATGGGAGGGACGTGTCACCGCAATCCCCCCCTAAGGCCACCATCCCATCCCAGGACGCTCAGCAGGGCCGGGATGGGCTTCCCGGCGGGATCACCTCGAGGAGGTGGATGGAGAAGCCGATCTGGGACATCTCCAGCTCGAAGGCGCTCTCGTTGTCCTCACGGGTGCCTGACAGCGGCAGGAAGGGGACGCTGTTCCTCCAGCTGCGCGCTTCCAGTCGGAATTCCCATCCCTTCCCGACCTCCCGGCCCCAGCGCGGCACCTTCGAGGCTGAAGATCCGATCTCCCAGCGCGTCCACGATGTCGTTGAGGGCGGCCTCGTCGGTGACGTTGAAGAAGTACTTCTCGTCGGGGTCGCTGGCGATGAACTTGATCTCCCGGATGAAATCCTCGGGATCCTGCTGCCGCCGCAGGTAGTGCCCCAGGACCTGCGGGAGGGCCGGGGGTCAGCGGGACACTCCCCCCGGGACGGAGGGGGACACGGGGCCGGGGGTCAGGGGGACTTCTCCCTCCCGGGGCGGAGGGGACAGGGGGACAGGGGTCAGGGGGACACCTCCCCCGGGACGGAGGGGACAGGGGGACGGGGGTCAGTGGGACACTCCCCCCAGGACAGAGGGGACACGGGGCCGGGGGTCAGGGGGACAACCCCCCCGGGGTGGAGGAGGACACGGGGCCGGAGCTCACGGCGATGGCGTAGCGGGTGATGTTGCGCCGCTCGCACTCGGCCAGCGCCGCCGGCAGCTCCTCCCCGTCGTGGGACTCCCCGTCCGTCACCACCAGCAGCAGCCGCGCGGCCCCCGGGCGCCCGCCCCGCTCGGCGCTGAAGGACTCGGCGCTGCCGGAACGAACGGGGCCGTCAGCACGAGCCCCGTCCTAATCCTGCTCCCGGTCCCCATCCTGCTCCCAACCTGGACCCCGATCTCAACCCCAGCCCTGATTCACATCCCAGTCCCAGTCCTGACTCCAACCCCAACCCTCATCCAAACCCTGACTCGATCCTAGCCCTGATA